TACATGAAAGTAGAATGCGTTTATGCACGTTGATATATCATACATAGATGGGATATAATGTCTCATTTTTCTGAGTGTACATGTTGCAGAATCATATTGGTCATGTAGTCACATATATACATACAGTAATAATGTCTGTTTAATTCTACTACCTTTCCTATCCCCACATTCCCTCCCCTCCCTTCCCATCACTTCCCACTACCTAATCTAAGGTAATGCTCTTCTTTACTAGTGCCCCCTGCCTAATTGTGAATTAGGATCCTCATATTAGAGCAAACATTCAGCCTTTGGTTTTTGGGATTGGCTTATTTCACTTAGCATGATATTCTCCAACTCCATCCATTTACTGGCAAATGCCATAATTTCACTCTTCTTTAAAGCTGAGTAATTTTCCATTGAGTATACATACGACAATGTTTACCTATTTATATGGACTCTTTACCACTTGAGATATAATGTTTCTAAAGTTAATATCAAAATAATTCTTTCTTAAAATAAAAAAAAAACTCTTTTATAGCCCACTTCCCTGATATTAGAACCACTACACCAGCTTTCTTTTGGTTAGTGTTTGCATTGTTTACATATGTATATATTTTTTATTAAGTAAATGATCTTTCATGCTTTATTAATTATTTTAAATAATGTTGCAGATTAGTTTTCTTTAATTTAACTTTCTTATATTTTTGTTTTGCTTATTTTATTTTCTGGAGTTTCTGTTTACTTTTTTTTATGATGAGAAGAAATACACATTGCTTATCATTCCACAAATATTTTTTACTCACTCTACGTAATGTAAAGAATTTTTTTTATATTTCTGAAAACATCTTTTTTAGAACTATGGAGTGTTTGCTCTAATTTGAACTACTTCAATCTAAGCCAGCTACACAGCTGCTGACACTTCTGTTCTATATAATTCCTAGTTGTTTATTTTTCTTTTACTCCACATCTTCCTCTCTCTTGGGTTTGACCTTCACTTTGTTGGAATATATCTCAGGTACATTTTTTTTCAGAAAGAGTATATGGAAAATGAGCTTTGAATCAGGCATAATGAAGTCTCACACATGGTCAAGTATCTGGATTTATCTTATCTTCTAGGTCATTATATTTAACATCCAAATAGTATTTTAAGGAGTAATAATGAATACAAGCCACAAATAAGAAAAGAAAAACATTCAGGGAAGAGGGATTATTTATACAAATGTACTGAGCCATGAGATGGCAGTGTGAATTGGGAATCACAAGAAATTCAATAGTGTAGGACATCAAGAGCCAGAAATAGAAGGAATAGGGTGGGGTTAGAAAGGAGGGGGAAATAAAACTGAAAGAAAAAGTAGGGTCATATCCTCAGCAGTCTTTTCTGTCATGCTAAGGGTCCTGGTTATAATACTGGAGTGAAAGGAAACATCAGATCAGTCTTACTCTGGGAAATATTAAGGCCAGAGATGTGATACAGAAATATTGATGGCTTACAGTAGGATGCGGAGGATGGTCATGAGATTGGAAGAAAAGGGGCCGCAGCAAGAGAAGTAACTTAGTTTAGTAAGACGATAGGACAGGGACAGATCATAGGGGTAAAAAAAAGCCATGTTTTTACTTCATTCTGAGCAATGATAAAAACTTCAGATTCTGAATAGTGGGATTGGTACTTTAGCAAAATCACTTGGGATACATTTCAAGAGAAAGACTAGATACCAGGGTGGAAAGACTAGAGATAGGAAAGCCAATCACAGTGTTATTTTTTTTCGTTGTTGTAGAAACCAAGATAAGAGGTGATGGTGACATGAACTGACTTGGTGGCTGGAGAGAGGGAAATGGGTTTGAGTGATACAAGGAAGATTAATTAAAAATCAAATGCTGACTGATTAGATGTGAGGATTGAAAGAAGAAAGACAGAGGACTTATAGGTTCTCAGTTTGGACCAGGGGATGGATGGATGGATGACATAAATCTCTTAGAAGACATCTGTGGGAAAGGATGAAGGATGTCTTTCACTGGGAATGAAGCACATTTTAGATGTGGACCTTGTGGATCTCCTTTCCCCTTTTATCTCTCTAATGAAGCAAAGAAAGGGACTGACTGCTTTTCCTCCTTCAAGGTCTGTCCTAGAGCATACTCCCTGTTACTCCATCCTCTCCTATTGCCAGGGCAACAGTCTCCTTTCAAATTCTCAAAACTTCTCCACTTTCTTCAAACACAGGGCCTTTGCACTTGCTATAACCTGGGTCTAGAACTGTTTTCCCTCCTCTCTGGCAATGTGACACTTTCTCATTCTGTAGAGTTCAGTGTCAGTCACTTTGTCAGGGACACCCATCTGATCTTGTGCCAGCTCCAGGGTCTCCTACCCTTTTTATTTTTCCTATCCCATTCTTTTACCAATAAAGAACTTTTTAGTCTATGGAAATCATTTATTTTTGTGAATAATTGTCTTGTCCGCTAGAGTATAGCCTTCATGAAAGTAAGAACTATGTTTATTTCACTCACCACTCTTTCTGCAGAGCCTAGAACAAATGTTTATTGAAGGAATGAATGAGAAGAATGTCCTGCAGCTTAGCTGTGGCTGTCACCACAGAGGATCTTTGCTCCCAGGGTGAAATGACTCTTCTCAGACAATTCTCAACAGCTGTTTGAGGAGTTGCATGGCTAATTCCCCGACAGCAATTTATCACACACAGGCTGTGCTGAAGCCACTGTGTATAATTCAGGCAAAACGGTACCTTCAAGGCCTCTTGAAGTTCTGAGCTGGGAAACCACCCCTGTTGCCAGGTCCCTTTGGGAAGCTACCAGCAGGGGGCTTGCAGTGTCACCTGGGAGACAATGGGGACACATCCAACTAAGGTGCTCCCTTCTGGAGAATTTGCTACTTTGCAGACCATGAGCTTCTTGACTGTATACTGGGCCCTGTCCATGATTTACCCCTGAACCCAGCTGAGTGCTGACTCATAAAATGAGCTCCATATGTATGTGTTGAATAAACAAATGGATACATTAACATGGCACAATCTCCTTATGTATCTTTCATCTATTTGTAAATCTCTCTCTGGTCCAAATCAGTCCAGAACTTTCAGAAGCAAGCCACGGGACATTGCCTTCAGTGAAGTGCTCTAGCCTTTACCCACCATTTCTGCAATTCAGACATTTCCATTATCTGCAGTGGTAGGTGGGAGACTCTCTCCCTTGAGGTTGATTAAGAACCCCAGGGCTTAGGATATCTAGTAAAATTGAGGATGGGCCTTGGATCGCTAGTTGAACCCATTTCTGCTTCCAGTGCTTCCTGCTGATGATACATGAGGCTATTAAAGGCAGGTGGCTCTGGTGGGGCATCTTTCCCTAGCACAAGCTCGGCTGCAGACCTCTTGGCCTCTGCCTTTAGTGCTGTATGCTTAGCTTTCATTCCATCAAAGCACTGCCTAGCAATTCTCCTCCTCTCCCTCCTGCCTCAGGGAGGCAGCCTTTTTTCCTCCTCCTTACCCAAACTCTCACTTCCCATTTCTTCCCATCACCATGGGGTTGGTCTGCCTCTCACCTTTCCCTTGCAGGTACAGAAGCCTCTATGCTTTCTTAGAGGCAGTGCAAAGGCCTGGTGAATCCCCTGGAATGAGTGAGACAAATTCAAGGCTGTCCTTAAAGGGAAAGGAAGAAGAGCCTCCTTTTCCTCCTCCTCCTCTGCTCTCTTCCTCATTTCTTCTTAAGACTAGTATACAATAAGGTACCAATTATGTTCACAGTTACTCAATTCTGTTAGATATATACATAAACATGAGGTCCTGTAATTTACTGTATTTCATGAAGTCCAGAACACATCAGCAGTAAGATATTACATCATTTTATCTCCTACTAAGAAGAAAAAAAATGCTACCTATTATAAGTATTAAACTCTGTGGATTGTATGCTGTATAACGAATTCAAAATTATTCATATGTGGAAAAAAAGGAATTTTTTTTTTTTTAGGATCAACTAAATCATACTGCATTATTCTGCCCCTAGCTAATTTTGGTTAACGATTGGACTTAGAGATCTTTCTGTGTTCATATTACAAGAATCTATTTCATTGTAAAAATCATTCTGTAGTATTCCGAATAAGGAGATAAAATAGTTTATTTGATCATTCATCTACAGATAGATCTTATTTTTGCATTTGTAAACAATGCTTCAGTGAAGATTCTTGTGAATATTATGAATATTCTCAGTTCCCAGAAGTGGATTTCCTACACTGTATTAAATTTGGATCCTTACTATCAATTTGTTCCATCAAAGATATCTATTTGTAATCCTTCAGTAGTGCCTGAAAGTATCCATTTCCCCAGGCTCTTATCAAGTCTAGATAATAGCAATTATGTTTTCCATTTTTTTTAAATCAAGTTGACCCAAAATGGCATGTTGTAATTTGTACTTCCCACATTGCCAGTGAAAGTAAGCATATTTTCTTAATATTCCTTAGTTATTTTATTTCTTCTCTGGTACTTTGACTACCCATGCCCTTTGCACATTTTAACATCAAGTTGTTCAATTTTTATTGATTTACAGTTTTTTTAATATAGTAAGGCTAGAAATTTTTAAAATATATTTAGAAAGCATTTTCTCCCTATTTACATACTCTAAAATTTTCCATGCTTAGTTTTTATTGTTGCTGAAATGTAACTACTTTGATTTCATTTTTTTGTGGCTTCTGGATTTTGCGTTGCTTAAAAAGGTACCAGACTATAGTTTTCCAGAATATTCCTGTGTGTGTCATATACATGTATGTGTACACATATGTATGTGTGTCTGTGTCTGAGAATGTATTTTTAACTGTTAGTCTGCCAAGAATTTATTTTTGCATGTCATGAGGGAATCTAACTTTGATTTTCTTCACTTAGTTTAGTTTTTAAAGGATTTTCTTTTCTATATAAACTTTAAAATAGTTTAAGTTCCAAAAACAGTCCTCTGAAATTTGATTGAAATTTCATTAATTTATAGAGTAAATTTATTACATTAATTTACCGATAAAGTTATTGAATAAATTAGATAAAATAAACACATTTATTATTTTGGATCTTCCCATTCAAAACATTACCTTACCTCGATGTGTCCCAGTTTCCTTTTTCAAATAATGAGGATAATAATTTTAAATGTCTTATAACATTTCCAAGGAAAACTAAACAAATCATGTAAGTAAAAATATTGGACAATTCTTGGCACATTAAAAGAAAATAAATTCTAGTTGCTATTATTATTGTTATTATTATTTCCTATACTTGTAGGTTTTCTTTACACCTTTACAGATTAGTTTTATAACATTATTTTAAATACTTGTAGGTTTGATCACTATTTCATTTCTACTGTATGTTCTAATTTTTTATTGTTAACACATAAAAAAATGGATTGAAATATACATTAACTATTTTAATATTTATTAAGTATCCTAGATGACCTTTTCCCATTTCTCCCTCTGATCTGGCTCTAATAGTATTGGGAAGTGCCAAGAGCAGAGAAACAGAGACCAGACAGAAGGTCTTAATATGCCATTTTCTTGAAAGTTTGGTGCGTTTGATTTCCAAAATCAAACATAAAGACACTTGCAGTGTTGTGTTGCTCAAACAAATTTTCCCTGTGACCAGTTAGGATACACTGGAGAATTTCCTGTATCGAATATGAGAGTAATCACTGCCATCAGAATCTTTTAATATTGGCTTATGTAAAATACACCTTTGACTATCTCCTTTGTAAATGGCCATTTTATTTAACATTAGGAAGCAAGTTGTTTTGAGACAACTGAGAAAACTCAGGATGCCCAAGAGGAGGATACAGCTTGGTGGATTTCTACCATTCTCATGATGCTCAAGAGAGGAAGTGGCTAAGACTTACTAGAATTCTTAGATGTATTATCCTCAAACAAGAGGTGTCAGTGGGGAGAACTCTGGGTAGGCTGCTGAGTCTAAAAGAACATCATCTTCCTTCAACCGACTACCCAGGGGGTTTATCAGTTCCTTGAATAACTGAGTCACATCATTAATATCCAAAAGAAGAATATGATGAACTCTATGATTATCAGATTTTTAGAAATCTATTTTTATATTAACCTCTTTCAAACATCAGTGGGGCTCACAGGGTTCATATTCAGCTCATTTAAAAGCGGGTCTTGCTATCCCGAACATTGTTTGAAACTTTTCTTTTTCTCTCTTCATTCTTATGAGGACAGCATCCCCTCAAGTGTTACTGGCCTGGTTCCACTATGTCAAATGTATGCAGCAGAGAAAGGAGATACACCAGCAGCTGGAGTGGCTGAGCGGAAGGAAGGAGACTAAAATGTATTAATCCCATTTGAAGCAACAGGCACTGTGTTGAATGCTTTCAGATACAATACCACGTTGATCCTCATAACAATCTTGCAAGGAGAACGTTGCTATGAGTATGTTCACACCTGGAGAAACTGAGGCATAGGGAAATGAAGATTTGAACCAGGGTTGGTTTAACTCCAAAGTTCATGGGTCAGAAATGCCAGCTCATTTAGAATTCCAGCTAGAACTACCAGAGATCTTAGGCCAGGTCTCCAGAATCCTTGATACAAGACCTTGGTAATGTGGAGGCCAAAGATAAGTCTCAATAGACTGGACTTATGCATGAAGAAATAAACTTCTTTTTTGGCAAAATACTCCATCAAGAGCTCCCCTGATGGGCAATTCAAAACCTTTCCAAGACAACGAAGACCTGCCGTCTTAATGGGAATGCTGCTGCTGTCTTGATCTTTTGGTTAAAAATCTACTTCCTGGAACAAGGTCACTCTCTTCCAGTATTTTCCATCTCTAATCTTGCTCAGTGAGTTAAGATCAGACAAATAGGACTGAGGAAGCTGTAGGCAGACAGAATTAGCAATAATTCTTTCCCACAATACTGCACTCCATTCTTCTAACATACCTCAAGTGCATGCCCTCGGCCAAAACAGATCTGGCAAGAGGAAGATTAACAATGATGACAAAAATAGTCCCTGACTTGATAAAACAAATATCAACTGGGTCAGGGGACAAGAACTGCCCATAACTAACCTTGGGATCTAATATGTTCTTCATTAGCACAGTATTGCACCATCTTAAGCATTTCACCTCATGCTAACTCTGAAGTTAGACCTTAAGCCTCTGCCCTTGAACTTAGTCAATATTTGCAAACTGTAGGGGAAAAAAAAAAGGATATAGATCTGCATGGGGGGTGAATGGAAAAGATTCCGGAATAACTTTTCTGGCTTTCTGTAAGCTCACCATTTCCAATTCCTTGATTTTTTTTTTTTTTTTTAGAACCAAACTTTAGAGACAAAGTTCCTCAAGTAGATGTTTTCTGTGACATTGTGTGTAGTGTGTGTGTGTGTGGGGGGGTGGAGGGGTAAATTTTCATTGAATAAAATGTGGCTTTGTCTTAGTCTGAGCTCCCTAATTTCCTCTCAAGATAAGGATGAGCTCATTGAACCTATCTGGTCTCTAGATCAGTAAACACTCTGCATGGGGCAAATTCCAGTCCCAAACCCTGGGCTCCTGCACTTCGGGAGCCCATTGATTTTCCCTTTCCTGAGGCTTCAGGGTGAGAGGTCAGGGCAGGTGGTGGCGTGGGTGGTCAGATTTCCTCTGTCTTCCTCTCTATCCAAGGCTCCAATTCTCGGATGTGGGAGCATTCAGTCTCACCATGTCCAGAGCAGAGGGTGCCTTCTTCACCATCTCCTGCCATTCTTTTATTCGGACATGTACCCCAACTTTTGCCATGATTTTTGTGCCATCTGTTATTGTTGTTGTTGTTATTATTGTGGTACAGGACCTTCTGCATAATTAGGCAAGTTAGCGTGATCTACCTCGAAGCTGCACCTCCATGCTCTGTAGGATCTATTTTGCAAGGAAGTTTCTTTTCTGATCACCTAGCCATGAACTCTGGTCTTCCCTAAGTAAAGTTGCCCCACTCCACTTCCTTTTCCCCTCACCAGTGGTAGGAACTGCAGATCCATTTTTCCCATTGATCAATGTGCAGCATTTTGAAGTGTGTCTTGGACATCCTCCCTCCCATCTATAACACCAGCTTGCTCTTTTGAAGGCAGGATCCATATATAGCTCACTCTTGTTTATGAACTCTGCCTTCCTTCTTTACCAGGAGCTCAGTGAATGTCGATTTGGGATGTGACATTGAGAAAAGAAAAAAGGAGTAAAGTACCAATGGTAGCATTTAAAATGCCAGGGACTACCCTATGGGGGCACCCATTTCTCAAGGCTAATGATAATTCTCTCTCTTTGACTTCCTCTTCCTCCTACCTTTTATTGAGCACATGCTATACCAGGTACATTCCCCCCAGCATATCTTATTTATTCCTCGATTCAGGGAGTAGGTCTTGTGTCATCAAAGAACAAACAAGGGCTCAAAAGGACTTCAAAAATATCAAATCATGGACGAGGCTTCAGATGTAGGTTTCTTGGAGTCTGTAGCCCATGCCAGTGACAGTGGTGCTGCACCCTCTTGTCTCCCAGACTGCTGCTGCAGAATGCTGATCCGTGCAGACTGTCCGTGGGCTAGCAAACAGGGAGGCATCTGTGCAGGTCAGGGCCTCATTTCCTCTCTGAAGGGGAAGGGCACATTTCCCCACTGTCTTCTGTGTTTTTGTCTCTTACTGTGCTTCCTACAAACAAAAGTGGTATTTGCTTACTGAAAAAAAAAAAAATCTAAAGACTACAGAAATGTATAAAGTCAATGCAGAAATTGCCCCTTACTTAAATGCTTTCTTGCTTACTTCTATTCCTCAAAAGTAACATTTATTATGGTGACACGTATTTATCATGGTATACATGCACTTCTATGTGTATGTATGCGCATGTGCATGCATGCACATGCTGGATAGATACAGAGATATTTGGACTTTAAAAAGAACCTCACAAAAGTGGATCCAATCCATGTTATGTAAATATTCTTGTATTTACTTTTAAAATTCAACAACATATCATGGATAACTTTCTATTTCATTATGTATTTCACCCTCACAATTTTAGTGGGTAAATAATATTCCATAGGCCTTGGAATCAAAATGCAAATCCGACAAACTAAAAGTAGAAATAAAGCCTTTTCAAAAAAGATAGGTATAATTATTGTGTGGCAGAGGTGACATAAGAGGGAAGTGGGGTCAGTTCCACCCAGGTTAAATTCACTTAAGAAGACATAAAGTCACCCAGTTTGTTTTAACAATCTACCTAGTGGATGACTTTGGGTCTACTGAGGATTTTTCCATTGTTACATATCCCTGAACATGTCATGTAAAATTTAGACACATGAACTGAGGCTGTCCCTGCTTCAAACCCCAGTTGTCTGTGACTCTTCCCCATTCAGCCAGGGTCAAGCACTGGTTCTAGAAGGGACTTCACAAAGGAAGTACAGAGACAAAGCATCAAGGTTTTGACTTTTGAATTTCTAAATAGGGTCTTAAAACTCAGTGTTGAGACACCAGTCTTAAAAGTGCAGGCTTTTAATTTGCCAGACCTAACTTTTTTTTTTAAACAGTATGATAGAAAAGAGTGTTTTTAGTTTCAAAAGCTCAAACACCAAAGAATCAAGGAGGCATAAAGCTTCATCTACAACAAAGAGCAGAGATAACACGTGAGGATCCAGCCCTGCTCACCTTCACTGGCTGGAAGAGGTCTCCCTGGGCTATGGGACAGAATGGCAAAGAGGTATGTAACTAGACCCTGTCCCTGTAAAGTGTCCCTTGGATCTTAGGCTAAACCCGGAGCTTGGGTGGAGATGACAGGACAGCCAGGTACATTGGGACCTTGAAGAAAGAATTTACAGCGGTGTTCCATCCGGCACCCAGAATGTCATCGCCATGCAGACGTGGCCTGGGCCAACATGGTGTGGCTACATTAGGGTACCAATGGCGAGTGAGCACCGGTAGCTGAGGCCTCTACCACAAAATGGCTTGAGAAAAGGGTCAGACTTTCCCGAGTTCAGATCACTGCAGGTATTATCATGAGGAAGAAGGTGAGTCACTGAGGATCTGGGGACACCTCAGTGGAACGGGGCATGGAGCTCTGGCCATGGTCACAGACATGGTGCTCTGCTGACAACTTGGAATTGGATGACTCATGACTCCTCTGCTCAAGGACCAGACAGTACAGCATTGTTGGGACATTATAACCAGAGGCCTCCCCCAAGGACATCAAACACGGGGAACTGAAAGTCCACAGGAAGAGAGTAGAGCAGAGAGGGATGGAATCTTCTCGGAAACAGCTGAGCAGGCCTGGAGGTGCCTAGATTGCTTTCTGCCATCAGAACAAAGATGAGCTCAAGATATAAATTAAGTTGACTTGTAGGGGGAAAAAGTCATGGGTTTTAACCAAACCGAATATGTGCCTTTGTCGTTCCTACTGGCTGAGGTGTGCAAATATTTCGATACGATGGCTAGCTAGATGAGGAGTTGGTGAGGCAAAACCATGCACCTTTAAAAATGTTATGGGTGTTGCCAAGTTTCTCTCCAAAACTTTGGTGGTCCCAGCTCACGCTGTTTGTCACCAGGTCTGTTGGACAGAAACTTCTGTCCCATTCCTGGTCAAGCTCTGAATGATAACAGCTATTTACTAATATTTTGCCAACCTGAAAGGGAAACAAAAAGTCTTAACTCGTCCTTTGACCACTGTCCACTGCTGCAAGTTTCAGCCATAAATCCACTTGGAGTTTTCTTTCTATTCGGGAGCCCAAAGTAGAGGAAAAAATAAGACTGGATTAAAATTAAAATGTTGAAAACAAGCAAATCCATTTCATTTATTTATTTTTTTTCTGCCACTGAATCTTGTTACCTGTAATGGCAACTCTCATAAACTTCATCAAATTGCCTAGGGTCAGTCCTTCCTAAACCAAGCTCCTTCAGTCTGGTGGTTTGTCCCTTTTTCTTAGAAACTAAAAAAGTAAGTTCTAATGTTTTTTATGTCAATATTCCAGAAAATGAAAATGTCATGATTCCTTTTGCGTAGAATGAATAACCTACCTTTAATGGCTTTCCTAGATTTCTTTCTTCTTTGTTTAGTTATGGAAGGAAGGTCTTAGCACTGCACTGGATGAATCTGGCTTTCCCCAAAGACTCAGAGTTCTAAGGAGACATACTAAAACGAGACATGGTCTCTGAGTTAGGCAACCTGGCAAACTGAAATCGCTGAAAGAGCAAAGGCTACTTGGCCCTTTGACACAGAAAAACTCAGGAGGGGGTAGCACACAGTGTTTGAGGTCGCTGACAGCATCAATAAGAAATATTTGTCTTCATTCTCATTTGAAGGTAGAAAAAGCAAATAAAATTTATCAAGAAACTTTTTCCTGCTTTTCATGTAGGAGTAAGGCCAGATCTTACTCCACGTCAATCTGAACCTGCTCATTGGCAGTATTCTTTTTACTATAGAAGGGATGGTCCCAAAATAAAATTTCAAATTTATAATAATAATATCAAATAAATTATAATAAGATCATAAAATTTATATCTTGTGTAAATATAAAATATATTTTATATTTAGAAATAACTACTGGATTTGCTCAACTTTTTTGCTTTTGTGTTCATAAATATGGGCTTTATAAACAAACTGAGTGTACATAGATATGTATGTTTTGTGATGCATATCTGAACTAGTTATACAATATGACCTCTTTTGCATATATGATTGAATTCACCCATAAAAGCATAACGTCCAGGTACCTTTGGGGAAAGAGAAAAGTTTTGTTTGCTTTTGGACCATTTTCCCAATTTCTTCTGTAGCATTGGTCCTCTTGGAATTTCTTACTTAGTAAAATTTTATTTACTCCTTGGGCTGGGGTTGTGGCTCAAGGGGTAGAGTGCTTACCTAACATGCGTGAGGCACTGGGTTTGATCCTCAGCACCACATAAAAATAAAATAAAGGTATTGTGTCCACTTACAACTAAAAATATATATTTAAAAAATTTATTTACTCCTTTTTGCTTATGAATTCATCTACTTGGCTGAGATGTTTCATGTGTAACCCTAGTATTAACTATGTTAATTCTTGGATTTGGAGTGGAGAAAAAAAAACAGAAATAATACTCATTTGGTAATGTATGTATCATTCATGATTTTTTTCTAAGTGCAGATACCTATCCTCATGTGCACACACCCAAGTTATGTTTGGACACTTGTACATTTACCCTGCTCCGTGCCAGCCTTCAAGGTTTTTGCTCAACTTTAGTGTCAACCGCTGAGCTATGGATAGAGATTAAGGGAACACATTGTTTTGTTGGTTTTCTTTCTTTCTTTCTTTCTTTCTTTTATTTCTGTTTACCAATGATTTTTCCAGTTGTGAATAATCGGAAATAGGAACATTGATTTTTAGATTTATTTTCCAACAGGTCAAGGGTAACACGACAATGACAAGAAATCCCTAGCTCCAATTTTCAGGGTCTAGAAATACTTACACCAAGGAATTTCCAATACCAGTAAAGCACAGTGTACTATTTGCACAAGCACTGGGGGAAAACCCAGAACTTTCTATACTGGCAGATTTATTTGCAGAGACACAGGCATTTTTTCCAGGGTGGCTGCCAAACTATCTCCTGAGCTTGTCTAGCTAGCACCTGGGCCACTCCGCAGGGGGCTTTGCAAATAATACCCTCCCCTTTGCCAGGATAGAGGCTGCCTAAGTGATTCTGTTTCAGTGTGTTGTGGCACCTTAATCTTTCTAAGCTGCTCCACTCCTATCCTGGGGCCAACCCAAGAATGGCTGCTAAGGGTGTGGCCACAGAAGCTGTATGACTGAGGCTGGGGATAAGGCCTAAGAAGATGACAAGAGTGGGCTTTGGATTTTTAGAACACTTCTGTGATCTTCAAATTTAAACATCTTTGGAAGTTGGGATGGGTCTGGATGTAGTTCTTAGACTACAAGTTAAAACAAAGTGGTAAGGTAATAAAAGCCACTGACTGGCTTTTGAGAAAGAGAACCTATTGTTATTTGGCATAAACCATGTGCCAGGCTCCTGCTTCTATAACCTTTTTTTTGAAGGCTTGATAGAAGTCACATATGCTATTATCTATTTTATGCATTATATTTAAATTTTATTTCATTTGTAGTATTGGGGATGAACCCAGTATATGCTAGGTAAGTGTTCTACCCTGCTCAGTTCTTTTTTTATAATTTTATCTTGGGACAGGTCTCTCACTAAGTTGCCCAGGCTGGCCTCAAACTTGTGATCTTCCTGCCTCAGCCTCCTGAGTAGGTGGGATCACAGGCGTGTGACACCACGCCCAGCATTATCATCTATTTCAATTTTCACTTTCAACCTAAAAGATCTTTTACCTAACCCAGTGAGAATATTGAGTCATGTTGTTTCTTAGCAGACAACTCTTTTATTTAAAACCGGATAAGTTTTGTTAGAATTTACTTGTTATTCAGCTTAACATACACATTCATATCCTTTGTCGTACCCAATGAAATCATTGTTGTTTTGAGCAGAGAAATCTTTTTTTTTTTAAATAAACATTTTATAGTACTGGAATATAAAGATGGAGCTGCTTCTGTTAAACAAGGTCTTAAAATGTTGGCCCCAGATATAATAATACCACATTGCTCTAGAGATCTAGAAATTTCTAAAATTTTTTTTAGTGATATTCATTCTTCTTCACAAGCAGGACTGTGACCCAATCTCTCATAGAGAAGTGTCTCTCACCCTGTGAGTTCTTATGCAGGATGTGGAAGGACTCTCTGACCTTGGACAGGAAACAAGTCCCATAATTGAGGGTGGGGGGAAGGCTGGGGGCAGAAATACCTAGACAGACCATATAAGGTGCAAGGCACAATGGAGACCAATAAGACCTGGCCTCCTTGAGGTGGGGAAGGTCAGACCCCATCACCTGCCTTCAGGCAACACAGACCTGACATGGAACCAGCACCCAAGTATTCCTGTGCACCCACAACGTGTCATTTAAGCATGTACCACTGGAAGAGAAGCACACTGAACCCTTGATATCTTAATGTTTACTTTAACAGTGGCTCATGGCTGTGAACAGAGGGGGGGCAGCTATGACACAAGCACCCAAGGCTTGGCAAGAGGCCAAGACACTTACCAAAGGGAGAAGGATCATGACTAGAGAAGGATCCAGTCACACTTGGTTCACTTTAAAATCTTGCCCTTGCCTTGCTCTTTAATCCAAATCACCTTTCTCATGAGAAGCAAAACATCGTGAGAATTTTTTTTTTTGCATGTAGGAAAGTTAAAATTATTTTAAATAAAATAATTTTAAATTTAAATAAAATTATTTTAAATTCTCCTAGAACACTCGAGGATTGGCATTGAATAGATTGGAGGCAGATTTTCCAATGCCCAAAGCAATAATCCTTTGATGATTTTTCCTGTAGTTTCAAAAACTACCCTATAGGTGTTTACCCCAGTGTAAAGCCTCCCTCCAAAAGGTTATATTGTTGATAAGGGGATATGGTGCTACTTATTACTTTGGTATCTTTCATAATTTTGCTTATTTTTCTATTGGCTGTTTTATAAAGTTGTGTCTGCTGTTTTCCTTTCTGCACACTTCCTCTGTATTTTGTGCCTTTCAGAAGACAAGAATACTTATAGATCCCAGAATTTGGCAATGTATTGCAAATATATGATGTATGTTCTCCTACTTGTATTCAGGGGTGTCTATTTCTCATCTCAGCATATGTCACTAAAAGAATGTGTGCAAAATTTTATCTATTAATTTTAAAGAAAAACTTGTAAATCATTTATGATTGCTTTAATGAAGATAAAATGAATGAATCCCATTTTATTGTTAGCTTGTGAAGCTTATATATTCCATTATAAAACGGGCACGGGTATCCCTCGAGATGTGCAGGGGACAAAGTTTGTGATCAGATTTAGAACAGATCAGGGTTAAGAATGGTGGTGCATGATTTTTCTAGACCAAGTCCATCAGATAATTTAGAATCACTCAAGTAAGGAAATGAAGCTGTATTTTTTACTAAACCTTCCATCAGAAAACATTTCTACTTCATGTTTTGGGTCAGAATGTGGATTATCTCATCTGGTTTAAAGCAGATCAGTGTTAAATAAGTTCACGAGGAAGGAAGAGTCACCGTATAGCTGCAATGCCTCTTCTTTCCAAGAAGAGAAGTTGGAAGGTGGGAGGATTCTTTTTGCTCTAATCAGGGAATAAATATCTAAACATGGAGGGACATAGACATGATCATCCTTTGTACAATTTAATTAGGAGACTGGAATTTAAGTTTGTGCAGTTGATGGGAAAATAATTCCAAGTGCTAAAAGCTCATTATCTTTTAATAAAGTTTTGACCTTGCATTTATTCCAAGAACCCCTGTGTCATTAGGGTCAAAATGTAAAGTTCTCATCATTTAGCTGAAGATGAAAGAAGAAATCTGTGAGACCAAGAAGATACTCTACAAGAGCTTGTTTAGACAGAAGGATGGTAGAGCTGTGGTGAACAGTGGATAGTTAAATAAATCTCAAATAGGCAAATGACTCAGCTAATTCTTGTTCCTGATGCAAGGATTTAATTCATTTTCAGTTACTATGATAAAGTACCTGAAATTAGATACTTTATAAATAAAAGGCTTGATTAGCTCACAGTTTGGAAGCTTAAAGTCCAATAAGGGGCAGCCCATCAGTTCAGCTCCTGTGAGGAACTCTTGGTAGATGGCATGATAGTGAGAATAGTATGTGTGGGAGGAAGAGATCACATGGCAGGAATGGAAGACAGATAGATTCAGAGACCAAGCTTGATCTTTTTTAACTGGCTCTTGCAGGAACTAACCAGGGTCCAGAGAGAATTTAATCCCTTCTGAGGATGGCTCCCTGAATGACTAATTACCTTGCACTAGACCCCACCTCTACAAGATTCCACCAACCCTCAACACCACCACACTGGGGACCAAGCTTCTAGCATTTGGAACTCCTGGGAACATACTCCAATCATCTCTAAATCAAAAAAGAAGACATGATTTCAAAACAAAGAAGAATATTGATCTATGAAATGTTACAATCAGTCTTCTTGGTATGAAACATGCTATCAAAACTGTCTAGAGGATCATTTTAGGAAGATTTTGAAAATTTACATCATTCCTTAGTTCTGAGTTCAGCAGAAATAAACATAATGCAAGTGTTAGATCCCATATTTTAAGTAATAAATTTGTCATTATGTGACTGTCAGGAACATCTTTCCTTGTTCTTTGAATCATTTGACATTAACAATTGAACTTTAGTTTGAGGGCGGAGCAAATCTGAGAGAAGAGGCTTCTGAGCGACATCTAGCCATTTACAGCATTTACTGCAAGATAGATCTAGGAGTTGCATGCATTGATGCTGGGGTTATGTAACTAAGAATTGTAACCCAAGGAAAACTCTATACTTGATATTACAATCACAGCTAGTCTACTGCCTTACAATTGCACCCAGGTCCAAACAGGAAATGTCATGCATTTCAAATAAAAAAATTCAAACGGCACTGAGCTTGTAATGTATATTTTATTTTGCACAAGCTTGCATATATACTGCACATACATTCAGTTTAAGAGAAGATGGAAGGCACACAAGGCAATTGGACTACTGTATCCTTTAAGTGGTACAAAGCAAAAGGTAAAAGTTTGGAGAGAATACAAAAGCTTAAAACACACAAAGTAAAACCCCCTCCCTCCCTCCCTCCCCACAACAACTTATTTTTTTTCCTGTTTTAAAATTTAGTAGCTGCCAAACTAAATTTTTTACTTTTACTTTAAAATCAATTGTCTACTGCACCTTTTAATTTTCTTTTTAATATGGACAGGGAGTCTCATTGTTTTATCATATCAATTAATATTACAGTACATCCTTGGTAATACAAAATTGTACACCTTCATCAAATAAATTAGGATAAATTAAACCAATAAATTATGCAAAGTCTTCAGAACAATAGACAATAACAAAAATCCACAATTGAAATTGCCTCTAGCTAAAAAAAAAATCAAAAATTGACTTTATCAGTTCAGTTATTGTACTATATTCAAATCAAAGGGTCTTTATTACAAAAAAAAAGAGCTTCATAATGCTATTTACAACATATTGCTAAATAATATAAAGGCAGTGTTTTGTCACGGTTTATACTATATACATATGAGAATGGCTGGGACAATATTGGGGGAAGCCATGACCTTTGATTCTTCTAGGTAGTGCTGAGACCAACCCCAAATACATTTTTTTTTCTAGTTCTAAATTTAAAGTGGTAATATACAATTTTGAATTTTTATCCCCCTATATAGAGGACTTGAATATTTAAAAAATACAGAATGAATCCATCTTCCCCAAGGAAGTCTAGCTCATTTGCCTTTCTGCTCTTGTTTGTGCATTTTAGGGGGTGTCTGATTTAAGAGAGGGCTCAGTTGAAAAGACTCAAAGTCCAGACGCTTCCACATTCTGTTATATTCTTAGAAGGATAATTATAAGAAGATGCAAAGCTTAAATACCAGTTTTGATCCCAGCTCAGAATATGAGCATTTTAGCTTGAGTTTTATAGATGGTTCATAACCAACAGATCTACAGAAAACAAAACTGCATTTCCTTCAACATAACATTTAAGTGCAAAACAGTAACTGCTTACTCATATCAACCAGTTACATTTTTTTTAAAGGGGAGCTTTTTGAAAACAATGCTTCTTGTAATTTGCAAACACAGAGTTTGTACCAGAAGGAAACATTTGTACTATTCACACCAATGAATACTCTATAATATACATGGCAAAGAGGTTTTGCACTGTCCTCACATATACACTGCTTTTTTTAAGGGGAGTCTGTAAACCACTTTGTCTTTGATGAATTGATGACTGCTTCTAGGGGACATCCTATTTTGAAAGCTCCCAAATCTTTAGCTTTATGACTCAATATTCACCTGCATATGTGTGTGTGTGTGTGTGTGTGTGTATGGAGGGGGTTCTTACTAAATGTCTTCATGTACATAGAAAAGAAACTTCATAAATTTACAGAAACTGCATTACCCTTGCCCTTGACATCTGATAAAAGAGACTGTTATCTTTTAAAAGTAGAGAGCAGGATTTTCAAGAATGCTTTCAACTGTCTATACAGTCACTGTAGTATTCCTAATAAATTCAACAGATGTTGTGAGAATGTAGTTATTTATTAAAATCTCATGTCTTACGTAACAGCAGCCATGAGGTTAAATATTTACATTGCTTTATAAAAGTTCCCCTCTTGCTTTAGTGTTTCCATTTTGCTTTTTTTTATTTGTCTGTTTGTTGCTTTAAATTTTTTTTAAATGATATTCACCCACATCCCTAGTACAGTAACAAAGATTCTGCAAACATAAAACACTTTAATTAAATAATACTCGGAGGCACAAAGCAAACTTCAGGAGTATGTGGGTGAACATTTACTTAAATAATTACTACATTCTAACATCTTCCACGTGTTTTACCATTTAATGTGAAACGTCCTCATTTAAACAGCCAGAGAGACAGTAAGAATTAAATGTTTTGTTGTTGCAAATAGAACATTCTTTTCACAAAACATAACAAATGTCTAAAATAGGTTCTTAAATCTAGATAGGAAAAGGTAAGCTTTCCACTTCACACGAATATATATATGTATATTTTTACATGTGTGTATATGTGTGTATGTGTTTTTATATTCACACATCTGCACACACATACATAGCACATGGTATGAAATATTGCTTCTATACTACTTTTCATTAGGCTAAGAAAACACAAGATTTGCACCACAGTTACAAAAAATTGGCTTCTACAAGAATTTTCAAAACTCGAATGCTGCTCAAACAATTGAGGAAAAAAATAATTTGCGGTATCAAACTGTTCTAAAAATTCTCTTCTTCAAAAACGTATTCTCCCGCTTTGTTTTAAAAAGACACAAAATATGCATAGCTATCAACATTACGTCAAACAGCCAGAAAAAAAATCTAGTGTTTATTGCAGCTGTAGTAATTGGAAATAAAGTCAAAAAGATGAAATCGAAAGCCACAGAAGGCACAAGAACAATTGTACTTGTGGGAAAAAACTGGTATTTTGAAGGATTTTTAAAAATCCCCCCGCTGGTGCATTTAGATCTAGGCACAGACTATAACCTCAAGTGTACACGTAAAACTAATTTAGAATTAGCAGAAAATAAGTGTAATGTGGAATTTCAACATGGACTTTAGACTCTTTTTTTTTTTTTCTCTCCTGTGTAAACTGTCCCTCATCCTTCACCCTCCCACCGCGGAAAGTCAACTTTCTCCCATGGACCCAATTTTCAGGTGGTGAGAGTTAAGATTTGAAAGTTGGTGATTTTTGTTTTTCAAGTAACTGTTAAATAGGAGTTTTTGAGAGACAGGTTTTTATCACTTTCCAATGCACTCGGAGGCACAAGATTGTAAAAGGGGGAAAACTATCTGAAAAGCAGAGTGGTCGAGTTCTGTTTTCAGAACAAAGAGGTGAGTTTATCCTCAAGCTGCAATTTTGACTCTGAAATCATTTCTGTGCCTCGGTAAACACTGAGGGGATATTCTCAGTGCTGTAAGTGCATCGACACTAGGTTGTAAACACACACTTTTACTTAATTTATCTATCTAAATTAGAAAGGCAGGGGATAATAATATGAAAACTCCAAATAAGTCTGGAATCAATATTTCACTTGCCCCAGATTAAGACACCTAGTCATCTGTCTACCCAGGTGAACCACTGCTCTGCCGTTTTGCCCTTTACCTTGCACAGGGCAACACAACGTTGATGTTAGGAATTACCCGGAACAGCAAAGACCAGTTGCATGCTGACATGAACAACGAATGTCAGACTCTTCCCTATGAAGCAAATTCAGATGGCTTCTCTACTTGTGCTGATTGGAATCTTTTTTTTTCCCCCTAGACTTTTATTCCAATATAATGATTATCCAAACTTTTTTTTTCTTTTTAAGCAAGCCAAAAAAAAAAAAATGACAAATTGGATCCTAATGATTCAGTGTGCATGAGTGTGAGGGTGTGAGCTGGGAGATAGATGTGTGCGACCGTGGGGGCTTAGCGAAAGGGTTGGCGCACCAGCCCCAACCGCAGCACACTCTGTCCACACTGTGAGGGCCTGTGAGTCTCCTGAATGATGCCCGGCATCACAGGACTGCACCATTTAATTTAAAGTCAGCAGGTTTTAAGGCTTTGTGCTGACAATAATTGTGTTCATACATTCCTGTCCATCAGCAGAATTTATAAATGATGTTAAATTACAGTGAACGGGTCAGCTAGTCAGTCACATGGGTCAACCTGCAGTCTCCAAAGTCAAATATGATTTTTATAAAAATTAAGGGAAATGGCATTTATGTTCTGTATGTTTTAAATACCAGATTTGTTACTGTGTCATTTTAGGAGGTGTATATCAAATTATCTAAGGGGAAGGAGGGGCCTGGAAAACGCCATTAGAATGAATCATGAATTTGACTCCATCCACACACGAAAATTCATCTAAGAAAACAAGTGTGAATGCTGTTAGATTTTTTTTTTAAATGCACGTATGGGACATTGTACATCACTGAAAAAACTGGGAAAAAAAAAGAAAAGAAAGAAAAAAGAGGAGAATCATTGAAGAAAGCTTAAAATAGCAGCTAGCTTTCTTAGGTGTGCTGAAATTGTGTCTTTTGGGTTAACCCCAAATTTTCCTACGCTATACACTATTCTCACATTTTGGTCAATCCTAGCTTCTGACTTAGAAGAGACATTATCAATTGCTTTCAAACGTTATACCTAAAATGAAAAAAAAAACACTTAGACTGTCGCCACTTTGAATACCCATCAGGGTAGTGTAGAGCTGTATATATGGAAACAGGTCATTCTCACACGTCCTCCTCTTAGGAGGCAAAGATCAAGTCAGCTGACAGCTGTCAACAAACTTGTAGTGTAGGCAAGGATTTTATGGTCCATTGGGATTTCTTTTATTCCTTACTGTAGAAAGGTATAGTGTCTTAGAAAAAAAAAAGAGTTGATTAAACAAATAATAATTCTTTTAAGCATATAAACAAAGTCAAGCAAAGAATATATTTGAAGCTTATGTGCCTTTTAATATCTGAAGCAAAATAAATAGAAAATGATAACAAGTTATAGGGCTTTTCTCTATGAAGAGTGATCTAAGCTCACTTATTGTGAAGAACCTATTATAAAGTTGACAGAGGTGGCTAAAAGATCATGTGTGATTCCAGTCTTATCTTGAAAGAGTTAGTTTTGTACAAAATTGCTTTGCCTCCATTAGAAACTGGTACTAGTTTGGGGGTGTTTGCCATTGCTCTTAGGTAAAGACCGACAGTGATTATTTTTTTCTTTTTTAATTTGGACTGTTGGGGTATTTTTGAAAAGTGAGCTGCTCATCTGTCATTGGGATTATTTTTAAACACATAAGAAAAAGCTACTTACTGAGTTCAAACCAAACAAAATACTTCAGTGTATGAAGTGGTTTCATTGAGTTTCCAGACCTTCTTAACAATGAAAAACAAGAGACACATCAATGTCAGTAGAGCTGTGCTGTGTCATGGTTTACCTCAGCCAACCGCCATTTGCAATAAGCCACCAATCCAGCGGGTGCATCTTTAACAAATGCCCTTCCTTGCTAATGTAGACTTTACACGCGCCAACATTCTTTTTCCCTGAAAATTAACCCTATGTTAAGTCTCCAAATGTTAAGGGCCGTGGGCAAAAGTAAACTAAAGGCGGAAGGAAAAATAACCATCCCCTCATTGTGGAAAACAAAAGGAAATGAGAGAGATGATGATGAGGAGGAATTACCAGCTGATTTCATAACATATCCATGCCTCCCATACACATATATATGAAATCAAAATCTAGACACATAAGTTGGACATCCAAAGGGGACTGCTACTATTCATACATTCAAAAAGAGTTGTTGAAGTTTCTACTCATGAAGCAGCTCTTGTAGGCAGTTTGGGGATTTGAAAATCTCAGGGACTTCACTATCCAGCTTGCAGATGACCTTGTATATGGCCTTCTTCCAGGAAGGATCAACATCTTTGCCTGCGATAATGGCATTGAAAAACTCCCGTAATGTGATCTGCGCAACTTCCAGGAATCTCTCTGGAACCTGCTGATACAAGGAGACAATGGCATTAATAAAGTTTTCAGTTTCAGGTCTACAATCTTCAAAGGAAACTGAGCTAAGTTCGTTCTTTCAGAAAGAGGCTTCCATGGTACCTGCATTTTCTAAAAATGGCCGGCTTCTATTCTCTTATGTAAAGTCATTATATATAGTAGCATTGTAACATGAGGTTGACAGCTCTGTGGAGTTTTAGAAAAAGAATTGTGCAGAGCCTACACGCAGACCTATTGAAAAAAATAGGATTTCATTGTGAACATTAGGGTAGAGAATAGGGAGGAGGCAGTTGGGATTCCTGATTTTATTAAATAGGTCCATTCCAGAAGAAAGTCTCCAGCGAATTTGTCAGAATATAATTCATATTTCCTTTTGATTTCCATCATGAAAATAAAATGTGTTCTCACAATCAAATAATAAATAATTGAGCATCTATATAAACTAAACCCATACTTTCAATAAAGAAAATTTAAAATCTCAGCTTCTGGGTTTGTATCAGGACTGTTGCTGAACTCTCAATTGTGTATTAAAACAATCTGTACCATGAAGTACTCTACATTCATAAAGGAGTAAGATAATATCACAAAATATAAAATTTAAACTGAATCCTAAAAATGCCACATCAGAAACTGCTTTGAGGTTAGAATTGCTCCATAAGAAAATGATTTATGCAGTTGATAATAATTATGAAAACTAACATTTTAGTATATATCAGGCACTAGGTTACCTATTGAATGTCATTTCATTCTCCCAAATTCTCTGTGAAATATTATTATCCCAGTTATACAATTAAAAAAAAACTGAGGGATCAAGGAAATTGCTCAAGGTCATTACATTCCAAGATAAACACTTCCCAAGTATTCTTTTTAGATCTGTATTTATAAAGCCTTTTCTTCTACAGCAATTAATAGATGTGTTGTGTATGTGTGTGCATGTGTGCACGTGTGTGTATGTGTGTGTGTCTATGTTCTCTTGTTAATTTAATAGATTCACCTCTTGACCAGGGAAAGGAGTAGCAACTGGTGTACCTATTTATTATTCTTTTAAAGTTACTTATAGTAAAATGTGGTCTATCTTTCCCCATTATCAATATAATGGATTCACAGAATAATGCCACCAACTCATAACTTTCCAAGTACATATTGACACTCAGTGGATATCTTTCAGGGGTGCATTTATGCATTGCTGACTGTTTTATTTTTACATATAAAGACATACAAGTACCATGGCTGTATTTTAGATACATCTGTCTACACACATAACAGATGAAAGATGTTTTTCTCAGTACAGATATGCTGCAGAAAAGGAGAGAAAAGGAGAGGTATTGTCATGTTGAGCCTCTCTCCCCACCTGTTCCCCAAACTGGTGCAATGGACCTTTTCATCAGGATAGTAACTGGTAAAGAAAACTAAAATAATGACCCAATATTCCAGTTTTCAACATTTAAAATTGGACGAACAAGCTTATTACTCCCAATAGCAAATCAATCGTTCTCTTTAGGTAAACCTAGTAATTCCCCAGCAAAAAAGGGGGGTTCTATTTGGTGTCTAGCAAAAGGAAGAATTCTGTGCAACCTTTACCAAACACATTTACACTGGCCTATTGTTAGCACACAGTTCCACATCCATGGGTGACCGTCTGGAAAGTCACCCATGGATGTGCGTGCAACCCACCGTTCCCTCCTGAGAACTCATCCAGCTTTCCCACAAACCACTGGTGATCTCCCCCAAAGCTCCTGGATACACGCGAGGATTTGTTGGAGGAGAGCTTAGCCTCCCACTCACCTTATACCAGGACAAAGTCATTAGGCAGACTTGTTGAGTACTCTTCCCTCCTCCTCCCAAAGATAATCCTCCACATTTTATCAAACGGGCATTACTGAGAGAGGGGATCTGGATGGAGAACAGTTAGGCAGTGTAACTACCCACCCTAACTATTTGGACTGGGAGCTGTTAGCCAAATGCTACAGAAACATAATCATTGGCATTTATTAAAATAAACATTTCAAGAAGTGTGGTTCCACTGGCCATTGGCAATAGAGCCTCTACAAAAATCTATGTTCCTTGAACACTCAGAGGAGCAACATGGCAGAAAGCGTTGAGGGATGACAGGTGTGGGCAGGGGCTCCAGAGGAAGGCAGAATCCTGGAAGCCTTGCCCACTACAAGGACCCCACGGGAGGTCTGGGGAGCCAGGGGAAGAGGAAAGAGGGGCATTGTGGAGATTGTTCGAGGAGGTAGATACATCTAGAACAGCATCAGCATCAGAGGAGGAAGGCAAGAGTAGCCACAGGATTTGAGAGAACAAATCAAGGTAACTTCATTGGGGATTCTGTGCAGGCTCTCTAGATCATTATTCTTATCATCGTTCGCCATGCCTGCTAAAGGTTTTTTAGTGGGTTTTGTTCTGTTTCAAACATTCGTTTCGTGTGGATATCATCATGGGCTTAGAATATCTTCTGCATTTGCGTTTTGATGTTACATAACTTTTTACCTACTTGTGTCTACCTTATCCTCAGGTGTCTTTAGGTGAGAAGTCATGGTTTTTATTCTGCGTATCACCCACAGTGTTCAGCAGGGGATCTTTTGCAGAGTCATTTGATAAATACTGTAGTTCATAGTAAGATCTCATGCCCTGTTCTAGCCCATCTTGCCCTGGAATTATACTTATATTTTCCCTCAATACATTGGGGGTGGCGGCAGGGAAGGAAGCTTAAAATAAAGACAAAATTGGCTAGAAGTTTAAAAGTTAGAGTTAGGGATGGGGTTGTGGCTCAGTGGTAGAGCGCTTGCTGAGCACGTTTGAGGCACTGGGTTCTATCCTCAGCACCACATTAAAAAAAGAAAGAAAGGAAATAAAGTTACTTTAAAAGTTAGAGTTTAGAAATCATCATTTTATGGATGAAGAAACAATGCAATTCTCTTGAGACACAGAAATTATGAAATAAAAGAGACTTGTGTGAAATAAGGTGTCTTCCCATTAAACCATGCTGGCTCCCTTTTAATGTCTGTTTTGTTAAAAGCAATTTCAGCTTCTATGAGGCATCCAATCTTTGACAAGCTTTTGGTCTGTAACTGAGAAAAAAACCACCAACAAGGAGCTAGGAACTTTAAAATAAATGAAAATGATGCAAAAAATTCAAAAAATTCCTGGGAAGAAACTGGGTTATTGGTTAATGTGTGGGAAAGTGAATTCTTTGTGTACAAGGGAAATGGGTTGCTAACCTAGTGTTTGCTCTGAGGTCATGTTCACCCAGTGGACTGGGATGGATAAAATAATGTCATAATGAGACCCCCTAACAATGGAGCAACTCCTCTTTTCTGGTGGCTCCTGAGGCCCAATGTTGGATAACAAATGGTCGGAGAGGGTGCTATTGAATTCTACCACAGGTAGAAATACCAGCCACGAAAACAGAAACCCCTAAACCCTCTGCTTGGAAATTTTCCCTAATTCCATTTACCAGAGTAAGGGAGGTCCTCCTGATGCTTTTGTGGGGGCATCTTAGGATTCAGGGTCATGAGTAGGACCATATTTTTCTGCACCTCCTCACACCTAAGGGCTTTCCAATCACTAATAAACATCTGCAGAAAATCCCTTAGTGACAAGTAATCCCTTATCTAGGTTTCTTTTAATAGAACCCAACACTCTGCAGAACGAACCCTAGAGTATATCTCCTCAGCATCAGGTGGCAACAGTCAATCAAGTCGCTGGAATGCAAGACAATGCAGGCTGCTGGGGGGGGGGAGGGGGAGGGAGAAGGCCATGCCTTTGGACATGCCACAGGGAAAAAACAAAAGGCTTCCAAAGTCTCTGGCTGGAACTCTGAGGCTATTGTGGGAGCTGCTCTGCCCTGCGTTCTTCAGGAGAGGAGAGTGGAAAGTTTGCTTTGATAACAAAGGCATCCCAATAAGGGAGCCTCACCCCAAACGGTTTTGCCTTAATAGTTGGAGGAGAGAATAGGATTGTGACGAGGTGCTTGAATACTTGAATAGCTCATCAGTTTGAAGGGGGCTGGCTAGCAGCATCTAACAATTTCATCACAATTGTTTGTACTTGAGTCTCCTCAGAGCAAAGGAGGGCCTTGTGGGCTTCAGGCAACTGGGGGAAACAAGGGGGACTGTTTCAAGTCTGCTCAGTCCACAGCTGGGTTGAGCACACACACACACACACACACACACACACACACACACACACACACGGTGTGTTGGGTGGGTAGCTGTTTTGCTGTTCTTTTTTTTTTTTTTTTAATCAGAATGAGTGGCAAAGACATTTTTCCCCCGTCTTCCTCCTCCTCTTCCCAGTTGCTTTACCTTCAAGGATGATTTGTTTTATTAAACTGACTGTCCCTAGCCTCTGCAGTACATAATAAAAGCCTGACATAGCAGGCTGCCTGCCTTCTGTGTCCTGCAGATACTCATCATAAGTGTCAGGACATACCAAGGTTAGCGGTCACTGGAAGTGTGCTCGCTGGCCCAAACCTTGCCAAACGCTCTTGGCAGCTGAATGAATGTCACAGAGAATAGAAGGGGAATTACAAAGGTTAAAAAGAAGACAGCCTCTCCTATTTTCTGGAGACAGAGAAGCTGATTTTTCACACCTCTGAAACATCCATAAGCTCATTCATCAGCCTCTTGCGGGGGACCATAACCTTGCCCCTTGCACAGGTCTCCATGGACACCCCTCCATCCTTGATCCCCTTTAAAAATTGGCCCACCGACCTTGTTTCATCAGTGAAATCATCTTTACTGAAATGGATAGAAAACAAACTAGGCATCACCTCTCCCTCTGTCTACTCTCTCTCTTTCTCTCTCTCTCTCTCTCTCTCTCTCTCCCCACCCCCCCAAGAAGGGAAGATTCAAATGGCCCATTGAGCATTATCAATAGATTCCAATCTTATCAAGGGAGATCATCTTTACAATACATCTTTTCAGCTCATTTTTTTTTCCTCAAACTTCCTTCAACAGAAAAAGGGAATCTGGACTCATGTATGGGCAG